ATGAACCTAAGACACTCATGTTGCATTTCTTTAGAAACTGTTAGGTATTATAAAATTTGAATAATTTTTTAGAAATAATGTTATTTTTTTTTAGTTCTCCGCGGACTCATTTGCATTTTTATTTTTAATATTTTATATAAGAGTTAATTAAATAATACTAAAAATCTCATTTTTTAAGAGTTTGCCATATTTTCATACTTTGGGTAAATCCATCCAATGGCACTACAGCCCAAGCCGGGACTTGGCCTCCTTCATTAAACCTCTCCAAACATCTCTATTTACTGCTGTTCTTTTCCATGAACGCGTTTTTAGAGATTTTTGGCATCCTCATCTACCTCGTCTTCCCATCTCTTTTTTGGTCTTCCAACAGGTCTTTTTCCTTGCATTCTTGCGTTTAGTAATTTTCTGGGGATTCTGTTCTCATGCATGCGGGCCACATGCCCTGCCCATCGTAATCTCTGCAGTCTAGTGTATTGTGCTAGTGTTGGTTCAGTGTATTGTTCGTATATTTCGTTATTATATCTAATTTCGCCAGTTGTTATTTTCCTTTATTGGACCCAGTATTCTACGCAATATTTTTCTTTCGAACACGTCTAATGCATTGGTAGATTTCTGTGTTATAACCCATGTTTCACACCCATAACTTACTATTGGTCGGATTATTGTTTTATATACCGGAGTTTTGTTTTCCGGTGTACGTCTCGCGATTTGAATATGTGGTCCATCGCGAAATAGGCTTTGTTTGCCAGCATAAGCCTTCTATTTATTTCCGGTTCTTCTTCATTATTTTCGACTAGATCCATTTCTAAATATGTGAATCTATTCACGTATTCTATATCGTCTATAAATTGTTGTTGTTGCGCCTGTCTATTTGATCTGGTTTGTATGAGTTAATCGGTAAATATTCAAAGATAAAGGCCGCTTTTAATAAAAGGTACTGGTACAAAGACACCATATTTATGCTTTGCCGGAACCGAACATCTAATTTCTATTTGTTTTGCATTAGACGATTTTATTACCCTACTGATTTCTTAACTGGCAGGTATCGAAGGACATCATTCTGTCTGACCACCGCTTACCTATACTATTCGTCTGGAAAAAAAGCCTTATCAAATCTCGCGACTCTAGAAAGACGGATGTAGAACTCTACAACCGACTTTAAAAGATGCTCTGTGGCATGAAATGGCTTTAACTCCAGAAACTAACACAGAATTGAAAAATTATCCAAAACAACATAAACTATGCTTATAAAAAATACTGTCCGATGAAAATGGTCCAGGAAAGTCACAAAACCAACTCTTGGTGGTGCACTGAACTTGAACACTTTAAGAAGACACCAAAAACAGCTTTGATAAAGCAAAATACATTGATAAGAATCGCGATACTCAAAGCGAATTGCGATTCTTATCAATCAAATCTCAGATAGTTTACGAAAGTCTGCCGACAAAGACAAAGGGCTACTTGAACCTGTAGCGTTTACGCTACTGATTAATCCAATATCCAATTTAAATATTGTATTAATAAAACCCCTCAAGAAATTTCTTATAACCCGCTACGCAGACACGCCAACCGGTGAGTTTTTCTCACGTTAAAAGTGACGGAATTGGGGCAAATAAAATCTAGGACAAGAATAAAAAAAAATATATAATTCATAAATAATAATAATAATAATAATAATTAATTTTTAAAATCAATATTCATTTATAAGAGTTCCACATAAAAAGGAAGATTTTTTTGGCGTGCTGCGGCTCTATGTAAGTAAATCATTTCATACGTATTATCTCTTTATCATACAATCAAATTTATCATTTCAGTTAAGTATTTCTTTAGAGATTTAATTTTTGAGTTCCGAAATAATTTAAATATAAAATTTCCTTGATTTACTTGCAAAGAACATAAGGTCATTTTTTATATAGTCAAACTTAAATTCCGATCTATTCCATATCTTATCAGTAAGTTTTTTGGTTCTTTTTTTTTCTCTAACTTTTTTTGGTGGAATATACAAGGTTTCCACAGCCTTCTGTGTTCTGCGCGTGTTCATTTCATGGCGCAAGCCTGTCATGTCTACGAAATGAACTTCGGAAATTTTAACATTTTGGACCTAACCTAATGTTGTTTTAATGTTTTTGTTTTGGTGCAGGCAATCTATGCTGCTACAAGTACTAAATAAAATAGTAATTAAATCTGATAATTCTTTTAGATTCCGTCACTTCACTTGAGTGTATTTCTCAAGAATATTCCCTTAAGTATATTAGTAACAGAATTTGTTAAATAGTTAGCAACTCTCCTGGATTTTGCCGTCCGAACAGATAGACCAGTGACTGGTTTTATGCCCAGACTCACCTGGGATTTGTCCTTTACAGCAACAAACTGATTTATATGGACTGTTTTCTATGGACTTATAGTGCTGTAAAGATAAGTTGTTTGACTGTGTAATTTTTTTGTTACTGTCTATTTTGTACACTTTTCATATGCATATGATACGGTGAATACCTTTGTGATAATCTAATTTGATATTGGGAGAAAAATAAATTGGGATTTTAAATAGGATTTAAAGAGTCTGACCAAACTCACTTTTTTTGATATAATATTTTTTTTAATACATTTTGATAAAATAGAATTTTGATATTGGGGGAGGGAAATAAATTTCATGTGGATTTTTTTAAAAAACATTATATAAGGAGTATTAAAGACTTACTTTTGAATGTAATATATTTAATATAATTGTAACAGATTTATCACTTTTGATATCTTTACAATACGGTAATTAGTATCTTATTTTAGTAGAACTAGTTAAATTTAAATTACTACCTTTTTGTGTTAAGACTTTGGCTATGATACGGACTATTCTTGAATTTTTACTGATATTTTATACTTTATTTGGCCAGTGGTAGTGATTATTCGCTTGTTGAGGGGCTATTAAGTCCTATTGTATATTTAGACCATCCACTACCACTGTTATTTAGCTTTGCATTATATGTAAATTGTTTATACATATATATCTATATACACGTTTTATAAATATATTTATTGTTACTATTTTGAGTTTTAATTCAGTTTCTACAAACCAGTATATAATATAGCAAGACAAGATTAGTATTTAGTATTTTGTATTTCAGGTTATTATCTCCAGTATCATTTGTTTCCGGTCATTTGTTACTTCAAAATCTCAACTATCGTTGAGTTGGCCCCTTCTTCTTCTCTTCTTATTTTTCTTTTCTATAAATTTATTCCCAGTGATCTTCTTTAGTTGTATCACGTTTGATATTAACAGGTCTCATTTCGTTTCTTGTCTCATTAGCTCATTATCCTTGCTATCTGCTTTATATCTTTAAAGCCATCATTCAGTGCATTGAAGCTAGCCCGAACACTCACTTGAGATTTAGTGTCTCTTTGGCCATTTAAATTTGTTCCTCTGAGCTTAGCCATATTTTTAGTATTTTTTTTTTTCATCACTTCTCTTTCAGTTCTTCTGAAATTGTAAGTTCTACTCTTCCTAAAATCCAATACTCCCGGAGTATTGAGGTTTCAAACCGCCTACTGTGAGGAAATTAAAGATTTCCTCCAGACGTCCATGCTACAAAAAACGCTTTAAAAGGACCCATATTGGCATATCGGCATATTAACGAAGTGAAATGGAAGCGAAACTTCCAACCTTTGCGAAAGTACTGAGATCTTGATGAAAACACACTTCCCCGGTTATAGCGCCTTAACAGTACCAAACTAGACGAAAGGATCGGTCATCCCCTCACTGAACGACTGGCATCTACCAGAATATTAAATAACGAGGAAAAGGTAAGATAGGCCATTTTGTATTTTACTCCTTTGAAGTCACCAGGGCCGGACGGCATATATCCAGCCCTACTATGGTGGGAACATTATATCCTTCTCTCACGGGAATATTCAGAACCTCTTTGGCTCTAAGATATATTCATAGGAAGTAGAGAGAGGTACGTGTGGATTTTATATTTAAATCTGGTAGGAGGGACTACTTCCTACCAAAGGCTTTTCGACCAATTACCGTAACATGGTTTTTCTTGAAAACGATGGAAAGGCTATGACAGAGGTATGTAGGGGATAAAGTTCTGGTTTATAATCAACTTCAGCCAAATCATCATACATATACTTTAGGAAGATCTACAGATTCTGCACCCTATTAAGTAGTGGGAAGAATTAAAAGATTGCTGGATAATGAAGAATCCACCATAGGTATATTCATAGACATTGAGGGAGCGTTTGATAAAATCACATTCAAAACCTTCATTCAATAGCTTAATGTCGGAAATGTTCCCCTGGTCGGGAGGAAATAGATATTCAGTATGCTATTTAGTGTGAAGTGTCCACCAACAACATGCAAAGCACTAAGTTTGAGAACACACTATGTAAGAAATTACAAGTTGGTCTCCGACTAATAGAAATACGGTCCAAGGAACACTCACTATCTGTAAATCCCAAGAATACAAAGAGGGCTTTATCACCAGGGAAAGAAAAATCACGGGCTTTATATTCCCAATGATTCTAAACTACAGTCTAAACCTGACGAGGTGAAATACCTTGGCATTACATTTGACAGAAATTTAACATTAAAATCTTACTAAAACTTAGATTATAGAGCTTAAAAAGCATATATTGCTTATGAGCAGTGTCGACGAAAAGTTGGACGCATCTGGGGCCTTTCGCCAAGGATGATCGCCTGGATCTGCGCTGCTGTCATTGGGCCAATGCTAACTTACGGAACTATTGCTTGTGTACCCAAAAGTGCCACAGACAACAGCGAATAACAGTCTATGTGGTGATATCTAATAAATATAAAAACAAGTCTTGTACACAACTCGTATGTTTTCGTCAAAAGAGATGTCTGCAAGTAAGAATTAAATTCTTGAATTCGTGTTTTATCATTGACACATCATACACATCATACATTAACTTCATTCTTTAAGATGAAAATAATAAATTCCAAGATAAAATAAAGCATTTTATAAAAGTAGAGAAACACTTACCTTTCCATCGCTTTTTCTATAGGCGTCGTGAATTTTCCATACTAGTTCAGGCCCGGCGCTAGCCACTTGCTTTCCAATTTCGAAGAATTGTCCAATGGGATTGGTTTCAGTTGGACACTGCGCTTGACTACCACCTTTGAATTTTGAGAACATAGCAGTAGCAGGCACGAATTGTTCTAATATAGATACATCTGTAATCACATTACCACCTGCATTTGTTGTGGTCCTAATATATTTTGTATTACCTTTGACGATTAAAGCAAGCTTTGGTTGGTGTTGTAATTTGGCAGTCGTATGGCATCTGAAAAAAAACAAACGACTGTAGATAATGAATTTGGCTTAAAAAAATGTATGTGTAAAATGTAAAAATTGATCTCATTATATCTCAACTAATTTCAAGACATAAAAAACATTATTACAGTATTGTTTAACTGTGGCTTAATTCGTGTGCATAGAATAACCTTCAACTTTTTATATTATTTAAGTCACGTAAGGAAAGTGGAAGATGTACGATATCAAAAACAAAAACCATGTACAACGAGCTAATGGATGTCCAAGATGCAAAAATAAACAACACTGTACTTGGGTCAGTAGACGAGTATGTATACCAATGTATACATAAAATTGACTCCTTACTCCCACAAAAAAAAAGAATGAAACTGGCTGCGACATCTTTTGGTAAAAATACATTTATATTCAAATCCAAAATACCAGTCCAACTGAAGAAACAAGCGTGTTGTCAGTGTATACCACCAAACATGACATAAGTTGCAAAACTTGAACACTAAAGAAAAGAGATATTGGCAAAACTTAAAGTAACACAAGGGTCGATGAAGCGATACAAGCTAGATATATTAAAGCAGGATCGACAAAAATAGAATAGATTAGACAAAAACAAGGTCACGAATATAATCCATAGAACCAATTTATTGCCATTTCTCTTGCATACAGTTTAGTAGCTCTTTCTTTGTACGGAATACTAATTTTTGCTGTTATATACTTCTTTTGTAGCATATCCCAAACAGGCTCGATGGGATTTAAGTCAGGGGATTGAGCAGACCAGGGCAATACATAAATGTTGTTCTGCTCTAAACAATGTCTCATGTTTTTTGCAACATGCAGACGTGTATAGTTGTGCATCAGCAAAAATTTGTATTCAAATTGTGTAGCATATGGACAAACAATAGGTTCAAGAATGTGATCTAGATATTCATTTGCTATTAAAAATCCTTTAATATGAATGACATCAGTTTAAATGACCTATTGAAATGCTAGCCCAAACCATTTAAGTTTCTTCTTGATATCTGTGGATTTCTTGAACGGTTTGCAAGCAAGATGCATTGCCAGATGTTCGCGACACCCTCGATCTAAATCGGGTCGTAAACCAAACCTGTATTCATCACCGAAAATAATGTTTGCCTATTCTCGTTCTTGTGAAAGATGATGTTCTTCCACCCATTCTAATTTTTTGTGCGATTTTTATGGTCTAACACTGGACCTTTAATGGAACGTCTACTGTGAAAATTACCCTCATACAATATATTCTTGACAATTTAAGCAAAAACATTATTGCCATGAATGTTTTAAAGATCACTTCTTAGCTAGCTAGCAGTAATATTTGGGTTCCTTAATGCCTAAAGGTAAACAAACCTGTCATGTATCGGTTGTATTGCTCTTGTTAGACCAATGTTTCTTTTTCTTGCATAACCATTTTCTTGAAAACGCTACATAACCTAAAGTACTTTTATTTAAATGTGCAGCTTCTGCTACGTCGCTTATATATACGTACGACCTGTATTATACCAGTAGCTCGTAGCTGTGTTTTATGATCAAGATGATCCCTTGATGACTAAACTTCTGTAAGAAATGTATCCAAGTGTTGTTACACCACTGGTAGCAATTAACTTAGGCGTCTTAAAATCTACCAGGGTAAATTCTAGAGCAAATTCTCATGAAAGCCGATAATGTATTAAAAAGATCTTTTTACCCACAGATTAACTTTCTCCGGCCAATTTCCAAAATTTCCCTGTTGCAAAGAATTTAAAAGGTGGGTTTTACCTACCTCTGTAAAGAAATATCGAAGTTGTCCCCCATCCCCGACAAATCCTTTGGCAATAGATAGGTATTGCAATCAGAATTTTAAGTAAGTAGTATAAAATTGTATACCAGCTTAGCTGGTCGCAGTTAGAGGTTTAGCTCTCGCCTATTAGTCAGAGTTATTTTAGAATTTGATCAAATTCAACGCATTTCTGGTTTAAGAGGTTAGATACTCGCGTATTGAGTATACCTAGTTATTCTTTCATAGCATATAGTTAAAAGTTGAACACTAATTCTTGGTCAAGTATATTAATATTAAACAAAACATCCTTAGTTGAAGTGCTAATTAATAGTAACATTTTAATATGTATCAGTGTTAGTGTAGTATGTCGTGGACTAGTGTATGGTGGACAGTGATCGGCAATTTCAATAAAAAAACTTGAAGTAATTACATAACTTAGTACGCTATAAATGATAGGAACATTTTCATCCTAATTTGTTAAACAAACGTCAGTTTAATGCTATCACCTTTGCATATTAACTTAGTTAAAACTACAATAACAAAAACTTCTAACTATACTTGCAGTAAAAATTGGAAGTTAAGTAGATAAACTTTAAAAAACTTACCCTTTTTTAAGTCCAACAAAAACACAAACCGATTTAGTAAATTGTGATAAGATATGTCCAACCAATAATAAAAAAAATATATTTTAACAGAAAAATATTGTTTCTTGAAAGTAAACGATTTTCATATTTTAACAATTTTATAAAATTTTTCAAGAAAATTTCCAAAATAATCTTCTTCCAAAATAACTTTTTATTATAATCATTCAGCTTTTACATTTTTTGAATCAACATGTATTTATTATGGTGAAAACTATGTATTTATTCAAGTTAAATAAACAAAGTTACAAAAACATTCACACAGATTTGGCCTGGACCAATATTTGGTTTTTTTACTGAAATACCAAACAATATGCAAGCAATTATAGAACAACAAAGGCTCAATCGCCTGATTATCTATTTATTTAAAGTTGCAAACGACAAATAATTGTTACACTCGTTTGAATCGATACTATAATTCACGTTTCGAAAATAACTAAATTTGTTAGTAATTATCTATAATGTACAATAAACAAGCTTTATTCTAAAAATCCTTTGTGGTATTTTGCAATTACTCATTTGTTATTTGATGGATTGTTTTAGTAGTATCAGTTTCCCGTTTCCGACCGAAAATTAATTTTTACTCAACCCCCTCTGTGGCTCAGTGGTAAGAGCGCCTATCTTTGAACCTAAAGGTCTTGAGTTCGAATTTCATCTGGATGGAGAAATTTTCGTTTATTAAAAATTAATAAATAAAAATAATTTCTGTCCTTGTGCGATCGGTACTCACCGGAGGGACCGCAGACGTTCGGATACAATTAGCGTCTCTTAGCAAAGACAATGACGTCGACTTTGCTAAGTATCAAGACAATTACTCTACACACACACACACACACACACACACACACACACACACACACACACAACACACACACACACACACACACACACACACACACACCACACACACACACACACACACACACACAACACACACACACACACACACACACACACACACACACACACACACACACACACACACACACACACACACACACACACACACACACACACACACACACACACACACACATACACATACCCATACAGATACACATACACATACACATACACATACACATACACATACACATACACATACACATACACATACACATACACATACACATACACACACACTACACTAGGTACCTGACTGTAAAAATTCACTGTACCATGCCAATGTAGTTGTCGACGCATTAAACTCAATAAAAAAAAATTTACTCAAAAACCGTTTTTATATGAATATAATATAAGGGTCATAAAAATAAAAGTAAATGACAAGAGAGTTTTCATTGAAATAAGACATAATTGTTTACTAGTTACAGTTTCAATTAAGTGAAACAAGTCTATAAGTTATAATATGTTACGTTTAAAACGTAAATGTCGGATAATACTAGAATTACCTGGATAGAGTAAGAATTATCCAGGCAACATATTGTTGAATATACAAATTCTGCTTCTCTCATAAAATCATGTGCTTACTTGAAATCTACTAAAATTTCGTGTACATCTCGGTTGAGTTCCCAGTGTTTTTCTAATATTTGTTGGATCGTAAATATTTCATCTATTGTTGACCGACTAGCACAAAAGCCGCATTGGTAGTCAATGTCATCAAGATCATTGATAAAACTTTATATGCTGCGCTAATAAGCGATATGCCTCTGCAGTTTCGAAATTGTTCTTTATCTCCCTCCTTGGTATCAGTTTTATAACGCTGTCATTCCATGACCTAGGCATTTTCTATTGTTGCCAAACGATTTCTCCTTCTTTTATCAATTCTGAATGTATACCATCATTTCCTGGCGCTTTGTGATCTTAAGAGATGCCATTAAATTACTTACTTCTTGAAGGGTTGGTGCTGATATTTCCACATTTGCAGAATGGAATGTAATATCTGCTTTCTTCATTACACTGTCAATATTTAGTAAATTCCTAAAGTATTTTTTCCATCATTCGATGATTTCTGTTTCTATTAATATTAGTTTACCTGCTTCATCTCTCATAGCTTGTGTTATCCCAACAGTTCTACCTTGTCTGACTGTCTTCACTTCCCTAAAGAATTTTCTTACTATAGAATTTTTCATATAAAAATGATTGCACTTTCAAGATTTACGATGTCAGCACTCCACAGCGATACCAAAACATCAGAATAGTTAGTAAGTGAGGAATTTTTAAAATATCAACTATTTCTCAAACTGTTATATTAAAAGTAACTACACTTAGTTTTAAGACTACTGCAACACTAAATTTTAAACTTACCTCTTTTAGAGCATTAATAATAAAAACGTCCCGCTTTTATTTGTACAAAATAATCTATCTTATATGAAAGCTTATCAGTCTTCTACAGAATGTTTTGTTGTAGTTGTATGTTGTAGTTGATGTAGTTGTTTTGCATAGCACAATCACAATCTTCCTCTTCTTCTTCTTTCAGTGCCCTGTCCGATTATCGAACGTTGGCGATCATATTGGCAATAATAACTTTGTTTACGGCGGCTCTAAATAAATTAAAGGTGGTTTCATGATACCATTCTCGGAGATTTCGTAGCCAGATGTTCTTCGTCGGCCTGGGCCTCTCCTTCCGTCGATCTTACCCTG